TAAATAAATAAAACTCAATGAAAATCTAGAATTTAATGGTAAGCTCCTTAGAAGGTACCCCCCTTGATTCCTCTCCAGTTTTCAAAAGGAAATCCTCATTCATAAAATGTCTGAAACCAACTAATAATTTAACCTGTGACTCTTAGTTTGGGGCCCTAGTATGCCAGATTGTCTGAAATAGTGATTTATAATTGCAGATAGTCCAGCAATAATTTCAGATAACACAGCCTCGGCTGACACTTTTTGGATGTTTTCCTTCTGATAAATTTCTCTTTTTACTTTTTTCATTAAATTTATCTGTTCTGGTGTCTTCGTTTCTTCTTCCAGCAGTCTGAAAATCTCTGTGCAACCCTGATCCATGAGCTATCCCTCCATCTCTTTAAAAACACAGTAATGGAGTAAGAATTCATAAGTGTATGCCTCAGAATACTCTCAGATATCTGGGACCTGGGAGTCTCAAGATCAAGGCCACGCAGAGCTGGATAAAACAAAGCTAGAATCAGTAATCATAAAAAATACTCCAGTACCCAAGTGCGCCTGAGCCGCTTTGCACATCCAGGGAAGGCTGAAAGTATTTTCTAACCTATGAAATCAGTTTCTTACAAAGATAAAAGGAAATTATTGTTGGTCTTTTCACTTTATGACCTACCTCTTCGTAATAAGAATTGAGGCAAATTTGTCATCAAATGCTCTTTTCAGAGAGGTAGGATGTCATAATGGAGTGGCCCAGCCCCTGGAGTTAGACATAAATGAAGACGAATGCAAATTCCCTCGCTGATCAGCTCTATGCCTTCTGGCAGTTACTTAATCGCTCTGACCCTTGCTCTCTTTTGCTATAAAAAGGGGTTATTGGCCAGGTGAGGTGGCTCACGCCTGCAATCCCAGCATATTGGGAGGCCAAGGCAGGCAGATCACCTCAGGTCAGGAGTTCAAGAACCAGCCTGGTCAACATGGTGAAACCCCATCTCTAGTAAAAATTAAAAGAATAGCCAGGCATGGTAGCACATGCCTGTAATCTCAACTACTCAGCAGGCTGAGGCAGGAGAATCACTCAAACCCAGGAGGCGGAGGTTGTGGTGAGCCAAGATGGCGCCATTGCACTCTAGCTTAGGCAACCCAGTGAGACTCTATCTCAGAAAAAAAAAAAAAAAGAAAGATATGGGGTTATTGATGATACCGGCATTTTGGGCATGTTATATGGATTAGGAATAATCTATTAAAAACACATAACATAGTGTCTGGTACAAAGCAGACATTCAACAAATTACACTTATTATTATTTCAAAGTAAATTAGTTTAAACATTTAGAAATCGATTTATGCTTCCAGGTGACTACATGAACCTGAGAGATTTTTTACTTTTTTGCCCCATAGAAATTTTCTGTAATTGTATACACTGGCTGTGACCCCAGGTATGAATCTAGAAAAATATATTTAAAGTAATCTTATTCCAAATTAAAAATAAATTCTAATAGTTTGCCTCAAAAAGAGAAAGAATCAAGCTTCCCATTAAGACAAATTCAGTAACCACAAAGGCATACAGAGCAAGACAAAAGAAGATAATACTATTCTCTCCACAAGTGTGTGACTCATTTTCAACTCAAAGATGATGTGCAGGAAACAAATGCTCATTTACCCACTAGGCTGCTCAGAGCTGCAGGGATACAGACAACACCCCACTCATTTTTTGCATATTCAGGCAAAATGTTATGTCCTTCCTCACTGGATTCAGTCCCATTTTTGCAGGTGTAACTTTTATAAGCAAGACTGAAAAGAAAAAAAAATGTGCCATTTGGAAGTGCATTCAAAGCCCATTAAGATGACACATTCACTTGTATTTCTCGTCAACCTTCAGGCCGCAGGACAGCCTCCCAACGGTGCTAAAGAATCAAGGGCGGAAGGCCAAAATCATCCAAAAACAAATATGATACTTCAAAAATGCCTGAAAAGGACAGGTGTGCTTTTCAAGAAGCCTTTCCCTCAGCGGTGTAAGCTTCTGCGTGCTGCCCAGATGTAGCTGATAAAGCAAGGCTTTCTGACTTTGCAGCCTGATAGATATAATTTTCACACCGTATATGGAAAGATAATGCACCCAATGTATTGGATTGTGTTATCAAGCAGTGTGTTCTCTTATTTCACTAACAAATGTGCAGACAAACACACATTGTGGCAAATGCAAGGAAATCACTAGCCTGTGTTTGAAACTTAAACCTCCCCATTCTTTAGAGTACAGCAGTATTCAGGCAATAGGGATGCATGGTACCAGTCTTACCCTTTCTCTACAGACTCCAGAACACGACAATAGCTGATATGTTTCAGTGCATGAATAATTCTGATCCCAGCTAGACAATTTCTGTGAAGGAATTGTCCTTATATTAGTTATCTCATAAAAATATGTATATTTTATTATAAAACAAGAATATTCAAATGGATATCCAGAGTTTGGCCCCAAATCTTCCCCTTTCCTGTGTCTTATGCAAAGTAGAGGTATATATATATATATATATTATATTATATATATATATATATATATTATATTATATATATATATATATATTATATTATATATATATATTAATCAATTAATTAATTTTTTGAGACAAAGTCTTGCTCTTTCCCCCCAGGCTGGAGTGCAATGGCACGATCTCGGCTAACTACAACCTCTGCCTCCTGGGTTCAAGCAGTTCTCCTGCCTCAGCCTCCCGAGTAGCTGGGATTACAGGCACCTGCCACCATGCCTGGCTAAGTTTTGTATTTTTAGTACAGATAGGGTTTCACCACGTTGGCCAGGCTGGTCTTGAACTCCTGACCTCGTGATTCACCCACCTCGGCCTCCCAAAGTGCTGGGATTACAGGTGTGAGCCACCATACCCAGCCAAGGTCAATAAATATTTATCAAATGAATGTTAAAAGCATGAAAGAATGTGTTGTTTGGATTTTGATGCCTTTCTAGTGAGTTTTTCATCTGTTTTTCATTTAATCATAGCTCATTGTTTTGAGATAAGAAAATTTAGACGTAAAGTTATGATAAGCCACCAAAATTATAAAAAGCAGACTCAGGAACTGAACTGTATTATTTGCCTGTCCCTTCATGCAATTTCTTTCTACTTTTTACAGAAAAATACCCCTTCCTGCTGGTTCCACCCCTGAAATATTTATAGGCTGATGCCCTCTTTAGTCATCGCTGAGCTAAGCTGCGATCTTTTAATCATTTCTCAGAAGTCATTTTCTCCATCAGCTTAATCATTTCATTTACTTCTCACTCCACCCAATGTGTTTACATCCCTTAGACATGAGATTCCAGAACTGAAACACAGCCCTTCAAGGAACAGGAGAGAGGCCAGGCAACGTCAAGGCCCTTGATAATAGAACGTGTCCTCACATGTGACTCCATACATGTTTTGCTGTGGGACTCTTGAATTCCATCTCACCTTAGAGGCAAGATGCAATCTTTATCGCAGCTCCAGGGATAATGCTATGTCACACAAAAATGTGCACTGCTTTTGATTTCAGGCACACCTGGGTTCAAATCTTGGCTTCCCAATTTACTACCTATATAACCTAAGGCAAGTTATTAAGCATCTCTAAATCTTGGTTTGTCAGAGATAGGTTGGGAGGAATACTAGCTACATCATAGGAGTCTTGTGAGAACTAAATCACTTAATATATGTAAATGGCCTGTATATACTATACCTAGCACACATTATATACAGCACTCTTAGTAACCTCTAAATCCAGTGTAAAATCAATTTCTCTCTCTCACCCCACTGCATTCAATATACCAGGAATTTTGTCCACCTTTCCTTCATTTTTTCTGAATGTATCCATGTCTTCCCACTGATATGACTCACAGTTAGATCAGCTCCCACATGATCAGACCCACCATCATTTCTTACCAGGACCATTGCCATAGCTTCCTCATTCCCCTGCCTTCATTCTTGCCCTATATAACCCATTCTCTACACTGTAGTGATGTCATCTTTTTAAAATATTAATTGGATCAGTCCACTTGCCAGCATAAAACATGGCATAGGCTTCCCATTACACATAAAACAAATCCAAAATTCTTGCCATGGACTGCAGGACCTCAAATGATCTTTCCCTGCTTGTATCTCTGAGGTTGTAATTCTCTCCTCTTCTAACGCTTACTCTATTTTTAGCTACATAGGGCTTTTGGATCTTGAGCTCACTAAGCTTATTCTGCTACCAGAAAGTTTACCCTTGTCCTTTCCTAAGACTTAGATGTTCCTTCCAGATATCTTTATATGATTGGTTCCTTCTCATCATTTCAGTCTAAGATGAGAGGTCACCTCCTCCAAGAGGCCTCCCTTGGTCACCAAATCCCATGTTGTCTCTCCCTTATAACCTAACACTGTCACTTTATAGCACATTACTTTGTCTTATTTTCTTTATATCACTTGTCACTATCTGAAATTATCATCTTTATTTACTTGTATACTTCCAGAATGTCTGTCTCTCTCAACAGAATGTCAGCCCTATGAAAGAAAGAGCTTTGTCTACTTTGCATATCTCAATATTGCCTCCTAAAACAGTGCCTGGCATGAATAGGCACTCAAATATTTGACAAATGGATAAATTGATGTTTTTAAGCCTATTCTGGAAGAACTGGGCTCTAACATACTTTTCATAAGTATGAAAAGTATTTGACAGACAAGATAATGAAATCTTAAGGTATTCTCACATAAATTTGTTATCTCAGCCCTAAATTTGGCATAACCAGGAAATTCTGAAGCATTATAAAATGGTTCAGAACACAAAGCATGTTTTAATCCTAGCTTTGCTACATCCTTTCTTGTGTGACCTTAGATAAGTCAGCTGATGTATTAAAACTGGTTTTCTTGTCTAAAAATATAAGTATAATAATGCGTACAATATTAGAGGGTTTTGTGAGGATTAAAGGAGCTAAGTCTATAGCACAGTTCCTGGAACATGTGTGCAGTCAATAAATGGTGTTTATTATTATTATGGCTGTTTTCACAGTAATTAATTCTGGCACCATACTTTACAAAGAGCTTTGACAAATTGGAGCCCATCCAGAGGAGAACACACTATCCTGTGAAGGGTCTGGAAACTACAACTTGTAAGGAATGATGCAAAGAGGTGAGGATGCTTACCTTGTAAAAGACATATTTTAAGAGGAACATGATAGCTTTTTAAAAAACACTGAAAAGAACTGTCTGGTAGAAAAGGGATTTGATTTATTCAATGTTACTCTGGAATATACATTTAAAGCTAAAGAGTAAAAGTTAATTCTTAAACTCCTTATAATCTAATAACCAAACTTTCCCAAACCAAAATAGGATTGAATTCTACTTATAATAGTAAAAACTTATGTCATGTTTGCATAAATTTTTATTAGGGAAATTATATCATATATGAAGCCCTTTACAATTATCATTGTATTAGTCTGTTTTAACGCTGCTGATAAAGACATACCCAAGACTGTGCAATTTACAAAGGAAAGAGGTTTAATGGAACTCCCAGTTCCACATGACTGAGGAAGCCTCACAATCATGGCAGAAGGTAAAAGGCATGTCTCACATGGTGGCAAACAAAGAAGAGGGCTTGTGCAGAATAACTCCCCTTTTTAAAACCATCATATCTTGTGAGGCTTATTCACTATCATGAGAACAGCACAGGAAAGACCTGCCCCCATGATTCAATTACCTACCACTGGGTTCCTCCCACGAGATGAGATTTGGGTAGGGACACAGCCAAACCATATCAACCATATTAAGACTTTGTATCAATATGAAAAGTATGTGTAGGATGTCAACTGCAAAAAAGCAGACTATAAAATATATGCATAGGCAGACTATAAAATATAGGCATTCTATAGAGAGAAATGGAAAGAAAGAGAGAGAGAACATAAGTACAAACACATGCAAATAAAATGCGTTGCTTCAAGGGGTGGTGAAGCAACCATAGGTTGCTTCCATAGGTTAAAGGAGAGGCCAGACAATCTCTTAGAAGAAATAGCATGTGAGAAGTGATATCACAGAGAAAGCATTAGGCAGGGTGAACACTGAAAAGATTTCAAAGCTCCATGGGTCTATGATCTGAGGAAATATATTATTGAATTGTGGACACAAAATTGTGCTTTTTAAAATAGCGTAGAAGACATTACGCCTCTCAAATATTTTCATTTCCTCCCAATTTAAACAGGCAAAAAAAAAAAAAAAATAGGACGTCAAGAGACCCAAGTTCTGGGCTCCACGGTTCAACTGGGGCATCAACACCCACAAAGTGGACGTTTCTGGCCATTATTTCACTTCTGCTCCAGCAAAAGCCTGTCAACCTCTTGCAACCTCATTTTCTGGATCCTCTCCCCAAAAGAAGGAAGTTGCATGCTTTCTGTTTCTAAAAATCTGTGATTCATCTTGATTATTTTGTTTCATAAATCTCAGCTTGACCAGGAATTAGAAGCCACCTGAACTTTGCAAATAAGGAATTTCCAAGAACACTAACAATGGAATAACTGTAGGAGAATTTTGCTCCCCAAATCAGGGAGAGTCCTTTTTCCACATAAGGTTCAAAATGTAATAAATGATTTCTTTTGTAATTCAATGGGTGAAAAGTTTAGAACTCTAAGAGACAAGCATCCATGAGTAGGGTTTTTCTATAAAGTCTCTTTGTTTTATATGCAAGATGATATTAAGACATCACCTGCATTGCTTTCTTGGCTTTTGATGATAAAAGAGCTCCCCTCCATTGTTGTTAAACTTCCTGGCAAGTTTTCAGACTATCTTCATCCTAGAAGGGCCAATAGACAGAGGACTGCCATTTTCAAGCATTGAATACATGATTGGATCCTTCCTTGATGTCAACTTATCTCCCATTTTATATCTCAGATGATTTCCAGTGGTGGCAAAAACATGGACTTTCCTTTCCCACTTAGGGAACTATGAGGTGTGCTTGTAGTAGGCAATAGACATATTACAAAACAGCAAACCCATAGAACTTGAGACACTATGAATACTGTAGAACAGTCTTATTCTCTTTGAATTCTTGGTTATAATTCATACAGATTACATTGTGGGGACAGAACAAAGTAAGCCTTGCTGTGCCATGCTCTACTTGTGAAGAATTCTCTGACTCCTATATTTCAGATGAAGGAATCATTGTAACATAACAATGGTCAGGAAGTCCCCTGCTCCCATGCCCAGAATTGACCTACAGTCCTCAACCCAATAATCTCAAGCCCAGATGATTACCACTCACATGGAAGGTAAGCTTTTTTTCTTTCAGAAAACAGAATTTTTTTATTGTTATTATTTTTTATAATTAAGGTGAAATTCACATGACAAAAATTAATCATTATAAAGTGAACAAGTCAGATCAATTTATTACATTCACATGTTGTATAATCATGACCTCTATCTAGTTGCAAAACATTTTCATCACCTTGAAATAAAACCTCTGCACCAACCTAATACAAGCTCCAACAGAAGACAGGATACTTTTTTCAATTTTTTTCTTGCTGTATCTCTAACATCTGTATCTCTAATGACACTAGAAGATGCTCAATAATTGTTTGAAGACACTGAATAATCAAATAAGTGATTTAAATCCTAGTATTATAGTTCAAGCAGCATTTTCAAATAATGTATATAAAATGAGGGTGTTAAGATGTGGGGGAACGGAAAGTAAAATGGAAGGTGTCAACTATATCAACTCTTGAATGACTACCATTGTATGCAGGCACTGTGCCAGATGTCTCTTGCAGGTTACGTCTTTTTTTTTTTTTGAGACGGAGTTTCGCTCTTGTTACCCGGGCTGGAGTGCAATGGCGCGATCTTGGCTCACCGCAACCTCCACCTCCTGGGTTCAGGCAATTTTCCTGCCTCAGCCTCCTGAGTGGCTGGGATTACAGGCACGCGTCACCATTCCCAGCTAATGTTTTGTATTTTTAGTAGAGACTGGGTTTCACCATGTTGACCAGGATGGTCTTGATCTCTTGACCTCATGATCCACCCGCCTGGGCCTCCCAAAGTGCTGGGATTACAGGCTTGAGCCACCGCGGGTTACCTCTTCTAATCCTAAACATTATAAGACAAATGGTTCAGCTCTAGTAGGTTCTTTGAAACTTATCGCCTATTATCTATTATCTTTTCATTCAAGCTATAGTATTATTTGCTAGCAAGAGACATAGACTTTAGAAATAAATTTGCTGGCCAGGCGCAGTGGCTCACGCCTGTAATCCCAGCACTTTAGGAAGCCGAGGGGGATGGATCATTTAAGGTCAGAAGTTTGAGACCAGCCTGGCCAACACAGTGAAATCTGGTCTCTACTAAAAATACACACACACACACACACACACACACACACACACAAAAGCTGAGCATGGTGGTGCATGCCTGTAATCCCAGCTACTCAGAAGGCCAGGCATGAGAACTGCTTGAACCCAGGAGGTGGAGGTGGCAGTGAGCCAAGATTTTGCCACTGGACTCCAGCCTGGGAGACAGAGTGAGACTCTGTCTCCAAAAAAAAAAAAGAAAAGAAAAGAAAAGAAAAGAAAAGAAATTTGCTAATCTTGATGTTGTATGCTTTTACTCCTAGCTATAAGGAAAACAATTATGGCGGGTAAAGGCAAGCTGACCATATTTATCCCAAATAATTCAAATAAAATGTAATTCATGAAAAATGTAAAAAGTATTATGGATACATAATCAAAGGAAAAATTAACCTCAACATGTACAATCAAAGACCTTACTAGAAGCTACCACTTGATCTAGGCCTCAAATAATTGACATGCTTTGTAAACTCAGAAGTCTGATACAAGGTAAGTTATAGGATAGGAAAAGACAAAGAACTCTTAAAGAGCATGGTATGCAAGAAGCCTTTCCGTAAGTGGTAGGGAGCTTCTAAGGCAGCCCCCACTGATCTCCACCTCCTCATGTTTATATCGTTTAATACTCTCCACTTGAATATGAGTAGGACCTATGACTTACTCCTAGCCAACAGAATATGGCAAAGGTAAGTGGGATGTCGCTTCCATGATTGTGACGTCTGTCTTTTTTTTTTTTTTTTTTTAGAGACAGTGTAT